GCTCCTAGCGCCAAATCTAGAGACTTTTTTCTGCTACTGGAGACTGTATGGTTAATACAGCTATTACTTATTTGTGCACATTTGGTGACAACATCTAAAAGCAGCGAACTCTGCTCTCCAGAGCGAGTAGATTGGTAACCCCGCCTCCTGCTCTCCTCTATCTTGTCTGCTGTCATGATTCATGCAGCTATTATTTCATCCAAATGAAAAATGGAGAACAGATAAGCAGATCATGGCTTGTCTACAGTGAAAAGAAGGACTGGGTTATTTACTTTGGCCTTTTTGGAAACACAGGAAGGAGCAATCAGCTAAGTGAGCTTAGTGCTTGGAAAAAATCTTTCATTCCTTTAGAGACAGCATGAAAAGTCAGCTGAGTACAAAACATAGAGAGGAAAACAAGAAGAAAAGGGACAAGAAGAGAGGGACACAACCTAGAACAGATAATGGATGTCTATTCTATTAACATTTATCTATCTGTAGAATGGGGCTGTTCTATGTGTTGTCTTCTCCATTCAGAGGGGCCCCTGCCTGTCTTTGCCTAGGGCCCAACATTTCCTAAATCTGCCCCTGGTTAGCTGTGGTTGTTTTATACGTGCTTAACACATAACAGAACTTATAGCAGGTTCCTCACCGTTCTTCAGATGTTTCTTAGTCTGTTTTAAATGCTCCTTTCAGTCGGTTCTGTCACTTGGGTTCAGTTTGGTCTCCGTCTCCACAGATGTTCATCCAGACGGCCACTCTGACCGTCTCCATGTCCATGAGTGCTTCCGTCTCCCTGGGAATGCTGTACATGCCCAAAGTTTACGTCATCATCTTCCATCCAGAGCAGAACGTCCAGAAGAGGAAGAGGAGCTTCAAGGTGAGATCTCAGAGTTCTGCTTCGGTTCTTCTAGAGGCCTTTCCTCAAGGTTCTGCAGGTTAACTGTCGACTTGCTGCTCTGCAGGCTGTGGTCCAGGCAGCGACGCGGACGGACAACCAGAACGGAGACACCAAGATCGAACCCGACAGAAGCCAGTGATCCAACCATCAAAGGTACAGAACCTCCATCCAGACACTCTGCTCCAGCAGCAGGTCCGTTCACTGCTGGTTCTGGTCCAGGATGGGACCCAAGATTCTATTCTAAAGAGAAGGTTCTGTGTGGAGAACAGGCTGCCTTCTAAAAAAGGATGTAAAACATCTGGAAAATAAACATGTAAATGGGCGTGGCTTCTGGTGGTTGGGGGGGGGGGGGGTTGGGGGCTTATCAGGCTGCTATAGATGCTCATTCCTCCAAAAAAGTTAAAATCAATCCTCTGGACTTTGTTTCCAAGTTTGAAGACATTTCTCTTCCATCCAGGAAGCTTTTTCAATTCAAAATGTCAGAAATAGCGTTTAGTTCCAGGTTTTATAGATTAGCCCAAAAAAGCCTCATTTTGACTTAGAAACATGCAAATTGAAAAACAGATTTTTCTCTGTTAACATAAATGATTTCCTTCACGTTCCTTTCAGACGTTGTTGTGTTTCTTGATGCAGCTTTTTTTGGCTTATTGAAGCGTGATGCTGAAGTCTGACCAGCAGATGGCGCCTCAGAGCTCATCTCACATTCACTGTAACACTGCCCTCTGCTGGTCAGCCGCAGAAGGCATCTGTTCCATTTGTGCGTTGATCTCTGAGAAGGTGGAACACAGAAGTCAAACAGAAGCTGATAGGAAGATGCAGATGTTTCTAATTAATGTGTTTGCTGTTCAACAGGAAGTTCAGCAGCTCTGGTCCAACATGTCCTCCCTGTCTTCTGACAACCAGAGATCACATCCTGAAGCTCAGCAGAACGTCTCAAACATCAACTCTTCATTATTTGGTTCCTTCTTCCTCCAGTTACAGAATCCCAGTCAACAGAACCAGAACCTGTACCATCCTCTGTCATTCTCCCTGTCAATAAACGTGATTTTATCAAATGTTCTTGGAGTGAGTTCTTAACAAAACGAACGACCCTAAGCCATGGTGAGGCTGCTGACTGGCATGCAGTTCACGCATCGTCTTCTTGCTTTCAATTAATAAAACTTCAGGTTCCTGGCTTGCAGAACACTTCACAAAAATGCTAATTTTGACGTTGCCCACTGGCTTAGAACCCATATCAATAACAAAAACCTAGGACAACTAATGACGACGGTCCGTTTCTTTCCGCCACAATCAGCACAACTACTTGTGACTCCATTTAAAACAGATGACGCCACCCACTGTCAATTTTAGGAATTACAGCAAGCAGAAAAATAAACACAAAAACTAAAGTATGGCTCTATTAGTTCTCATGATTGGTTTTTAGTGTTTGGATTGAATTGAAGCGATTTACTGGTTCTGTTTACATCAGAAACTAGAACCGGAGCCTAAGAGTTTATGCTGGAGTGAAACCGGTTCTGGGATAAGTGGACCATCCTGCTCCGGGACTGGACTCTGGCAACCGGGAGGGTCAGGATAATAAACAGAACCAGAGCCATGTAGTAACAGAGTTCTGACAACTCCATTTCAAATCGCAATGGTGACACATGGAGTTCAGTAGCTCGATGAAAGTTAGCCGCTCACGCTAGCATCGTCATACATGTTAGCATAGCATGCAGTAGAAAATGATACAGTAATAGCCATTCAAAATGTCCCCACTTTCCTTGATGGGTCATTGGCTGGACCCCTGAGATTCCTTTTTAAACATCAATCTTTGTACTAAAATATTCTTTCTGTCATGATTTATGGACATTAAGATCTAAAGAACAGCGCCATCTCCTGGTCAGACCCTGTAATTCAGTGAAAGGTTGGATTCAGTAAAAAAAATATGCAAGATGGGGTCACTGCAGTGGCTGGAAGTTGGGAACTGGGAAGCGTCATCACTGATTGTACAAAAAACACTTTCACATCTATAAACGTCATGTATGTCACCTGAATATGATTGAAACGGGCTTTAACGGGATTATTTCCAGCTCAGGTATCTGTCGCCCTCTGCTGGCTGACAGCAGGAACTACAGAGATCTGATCAATGATCAAACATTTCATTCTTATTTATCGTTATTTTGTGAAGTTAAAACAAGCTTTTATTTTTTTTACAGGTATTGTTCTCTTATTTGATTGAATAAGTTGGAAACATTTTACAATCCTTTAACAGTGTAATAAATCCATGTATATTACATGAACATCATCAACTGATCACTTTTGGCTCATCTGTATTATTCTGCTCCATTAACACATTAATTTTATTATGATGAATTTGTATAATATGTTATATTACATTATTTATAGACTTCATTGACTTCATATTGACTATGCAATGTGATTGACCTATTTTTTTTAGAAGTTAAAGTTAATCTACTGATGCTATGAAACAGCCAGTCTGTCAAAGTGATTAATTTATCTTTTTTTTTTTTTTTTTTTTTTTACTCATAAGTCCCCCTGAAAATGAGAACATCATCGTTGTTCGATGCTGTAGCTCACAGATTGTTTACATTGATATTGATCTAACTAGGGAGTACCAATATGGCGACCGGTGGCTTCACTTCCACCCCGTACTACTGACACTGGATTACCGGAACAGGTTTGGGACCGGATCTAGATCAGCTATGGCTTTATGGCAGGCCGATTTATCATAAATTCAGCTTTACCACACTTCATGTTCAGGATATCTTGAATCGATTTTTGACTAGATGTAGTAGTTAATTATGATATCCGTTATTAATGTTTAGACTAAGCAAAGTTCTAATTTCAGATATCTCTAATTCAATTCTGACTAGTCGGAATGACGTCAGATTTTCCATCCATTTTTATGGAGTCTCCAGTTTAAAGTATCTGCAAAACATTACTGACTATCTGAAAGGTATATTTCAGATATCAACAATTGAATTATGACTATTCATAAATTCAATTTGAGATATGATAGCTCACTTTATGTTCTGACAAGTCATAAATCAAATTAAAGATATCTCAAATAACCTTCTTATTCAAGATACCTTGAATGTATTTTAAGATATCTTAAAGCAGGATTGGACTAGTGGGAATTCAATTGCAGATATCTTGAAAGCAAATAATGATTATGCAAATCAACATTATAGATATCTAGGATTGTATTTTTGAAGTCAATATTCCTTTGAAGATATCTCAAAAATAGAGACATCTTGAACATTTTTTAAATTAAGACAGACTTTGTATTTCAGATATCTTTAATTATCCTTCTGACTTGTAAAAATGACGTAGCATTTATGGCGGAAAGTTAGAAAGGCGTCTTAGCCTTTCTGGTGTTTTCCAGTCAGCGGTCTACGATGAAAGGTCCAACATGGATTCTCCGGTTTTTAAAATGACCTTTATTGCTGCAGCTCCAACTGGTTCAGAATTTCAGAAAATGCTGCATTTTCTATCTATATCATGTGAAACTGTAACTAGAGCGTGTAACAAAAGTATTTCTGATTCTGATTTTCACTTTGGGCACCTTTAGCTAGCCTGTGAGAGAGACTGGAAATTCTCTGACTGCGGGGAACCTATTGATTGATTGGTTTTATTCATCTCACAGTGGAGAAATTCACTGCGTAGTTCTTGTTCTCTGCATTAAATCCTGCCGAGTTCTTTCTGTATTGCTGGATTTTGAAACAACTATTTCAAGAAGAGCCAACGCCATTGCAGCCGCCCAGAATTCTGTAGGCAACTGTTTGGACAGCTCAGTGACAGCACCAGGGGGCTAGTTCCTCATTCGGATATCTAAAAATATCATTTTGAATTGTCAGAATTACGGTTGCGATATTTGGTTTGTAATTCTGGATGTTTGACTCTTGTAATGACGAATCAGGTGACGTCATTAGAGATATCTCAAAATGCATTTTGACAAAATGTGATTGATCATAATATAATTTCAGATATCCTAAATTATTATTCATGATATTGACACTTTTTTCCCCTCTTCATAAAAGTTTTTTTGCTTTCTGACTGATTACGGATAGTCAGAAGTTGATTTTATGATATAACGGCCTGCCATACACCATAGTTCTGCGGCTTCAACCAAATGACGTCACGAATCAAGACGAAGTCAGATCCAAGATGGCGGCCTCCAAGGCGTCACGTGAACTCTTCACGGAGGGAGTCCGAGCGGTTCTTCAAACGTGGCCGGTTCTACAGGTGAGCCGCCCTGTCCGGGTCAGCTTCCGGGTCCGGTTCCGGGTTCGGACCCGGGTCTGGGGGATAAAGAGGTTCAGCCAGAGCTGTGAGATCTGTGAGCTAGAGTTTCAAGCTAATGCTAACAGCTGCGTTTGGGTTCTTCTTCCCCCAGAACCATCAGAACACTGGTCCTGATTCAGGTCCAGGTTCTGGTTCTGGTCCAGGTCCTGGTTCAGGTCCAGGTTCTGGTTCTGGGTTGGTTTAAGCTGTAGATCCTCCGAACCTTAGAAAGGTCCAGTAGAACTTCAGGCTCAGAGTTCAGCAGATTTCTAAATCCAATCTGAGGACATTTTCAGCTCATAGATAAAATAAATAATTATCATCAAAGTTAAAACAGGAAGCAGCGATGTTTTCATCTATTTATAAACATTTATTAATATTTAAACATCATAAATCAGGTGTAGAATCCAGTTTCTCTCCATACTGTCAGTATTTGCTGAGTTTAATCAGGTGTAGAAACAGAGCAAAGCAGGTGATGCTCCTCACTATTAGGCAGGGGCGGATCTAGGATTCTAGATCAGGGATCCTGAGGGTGAAGATGAGACTTTCTGCTAAATCCCGTTCTAATGTAGAATATGACAGATTACTGGATTAAAGAAATTTCTAGTATCCTCCATGCTATCACATAATAATCCCGCTCCATAACGTGGAGGAAATGAATTCACCTGCAGGTCTTTTTATTTATTTCTTCATCAACAACAAACTCTGTGGATTTGGTCACATTTGATCATTATTTGACAAAGTTATGATGGAAATCAAATATTTTAGCTATTTGATAGAATCTGTTGGAGGAAGAGGAGGGTACAGGGTCGTACTTTTTAAAGTGGAGAGGGCGGGTCTTTTTCAAAAATTCATGAAAATCCTCCACTGCACCTTTAAGCTGAAACTAACTGATAAACTGACTTTGTTCAGTTTGAAGTAAAATCAGGAGTTCTGATGGATCTACTACAGACGCTCTGACCCGGCTGCTGGGGAGGCTGCTGTGACGTTAGGAAGCTGAGGCATTTTTTTTTTTACAAAAAAAGAAAGTTCCAATTTATTTAACGTCCTCATATGGAAAGATAGAGCTCTGACTGAGGCAACATTTGGAGGAAAATTCAACTTTAGTTCATGAAGGCCGTTCCCTGTCAGGTTAATCTCTCTCTCTCTGGTCAGATGGATCTCCTAATAACAGCAGCCCCCCACCCCCCTCCATGCCATGAAGGAGGCTGAGACTCATTCTGATCTCAGGACCTTCATTTGGAGCCTGGGAGGCTGAGAACAGACAAACCTCAACATTTTTTACTACACAACGTCCTCTCCATCCTCCTCTTCCTCTCTCCATCCTCCTCTTCCTCTCTCCATCCTCCTCTTCCTTTATCTTTCCTTCCTCTCCATCCTCCTCTTCCTCTATCCGTCCTCCTCTTTCTCTCTCCATCCTCCTCTTCTCTCCATCCTCCTCTTCCTCTCTCCATCCTCCTCTTCCTCTCTCCATCCTCCTCTTCCTTTATCTTTCCTTCCTCTCCATCCTCCTCTTCCTCTATCCGTCCTCCTCTTTCTCTCTCCATCCTCCTCTTCTCTCCATCCTCCTCTTCTCTCCATCCTCCTCTTCTCTCCATCCTCCTCTTCCTCTCTCCATCCTCCTCTTCCTCTCTCCATCTTCCTCTTCCTCTCTCCATCCTCCTCTTCCTCTCTCCATCCTCCTCTTCCTCTCTCCATCCTCCTCTTCCTCTCTCCATCTTCCTCCTCTCTCCATCTAAAGTTTCTCTGACCATCCGTCCCTCAGATCGCCGTGGATAACGGATTTGGAGGCGTGTACGGCCAGCAGAAAGCTGATTGGATGGTGGATGTAGTCCAGCAGTATTTCCATGACAACGGTAGGTTTCCATGGTGACAGCTGATGATGTGTTCCTGTTTAAAGCCTTTAAATCATTCAGACGGCTAACCTGTTTGTGTTGGGGGCGGGGCAGCTGACCTGCAGCGCTGGGAGGTGGAGGACTTCCTGTCGCAGCTCCTGGATCAGGAGTTCAACACGGTGGTGGAAGATGGCAGCTTACCTCAGGTAGGAGAAGAACCAGCGGAACATTCCAGAAGCCTGGATGTCAGCGGTTCTGACCCGCTTCTTTCTGGTGTCTCTAGGTTTCGACCCGTCTGCTGGAGCTGTTTGCTCAGTGGCAGCAGGGGGCGCTGCAGCAGCTCCAACACACCATTCAGACTTTGACCCAGAGCAAGACGCAGAGGGCAAAGGTCACGGCTCCACCCACGCAGTCAGACGAGGAGAGTGACGAGGAGACGCAGGTAGGAGCCCGGATTTATCCCTCAGGTCCGATCTGGACTCCATCTGTTGGCTCAGAAGCTTTTATTTTGAAATGTCTCCCATCAGGTGGTTTATAAAACAACAGCAGACAGAAATACTGAAGCTCAGAACCTTAATGGGAAATCATATTTAAATGTCAATCATTCTGGCATAAACATGGATATAAATGTACCCTTTATCAGACGATGTTCCAAAATTTAGAAAATTTCTATTTTTAAATAAATCCTCTCTTAAAATCAGTGTTTTTTTCCATTATCTTCTGCAGGCCAGTTAGTTCTACGTCAGCCTGAACACCTAAATTCGGCCATTCATATATCAACAGTCATCTGTCAATCAAATGTTTTCGGTCATAGCATCTTGATTCATGTGTCGCAGCTAATATACGCAACGGTTGAAATCAGAATCCTTTCCTTTCCCATTGAGTTGCGTCCCAGTGTTCACGGGGATGGACGTCTGTGTCTTCGGCAGGCGTAGAGCTAACAGAACTGGCAGCGTTGCGAGGCAAGGGCTCAAACATGGACGGCTGGAAGCCTTCTACACCAAACCAAGCTTCTGCCGCCCTGGCGTCCTCTTCCACAACATCTTCGTCCCCGCTTTCCTCCTCTAAATAAAAAATGGATGACGGAGGAGACTCATCCACGACCTCCGACACTAAACTCTCCTCCTCTTGCATGTTTCCGCTGTCCATAGCGTTCCTTGACAGCGTCGTTTCTAAGTCACCAATTTAGTGCTACTTGGTCCCAATGGAATTTCCCATTGGGAACCTGCTAGCACTAAGATGCTAACTGGTTAGCAAGATGCTTCCGACAAACCGGCCACAACCAAACATGCTTGCAAACCTTCCACCACAACAATCCCGCCCCCTTGATAATCGACCAATCACATTCACTTTATTCACTCGGGAGAATTCGGAAATGAAACAGTTGGAACGGCCGCTTCCCTACGACTTTAATGGTCCAGTCCAGAACCTCTTGGATTTAAAGACTCATGAAGCAGGAAGTTAAAAATGAAGTAGATTGTTTAATGAGACTGATTTGATTTTTTTTTTTTATTTCCATATTTAAAGTTTCTAGACTGATAATCTGTTAATAAAGGAAATGTTCAATAAGAGTTCATCAATTATTGATGTCTAGAGACGTTTCCGCTTCTGTAGGGTTAATTTAAAATAGCCCCGCCCGTTTCCGGGGCGTCACAGTCTGCATGTAATGCACGGTGGCTGTTTGTCCACTAGAGGGCGCCTGTGAGGAGCGGTATGTGACCAGTCTGAAGCTGCTGTTGGTCCAGTAACCATCTCTGTGTGTCTGCAGGTGATGGAGGTTGAGGCGTCCAGTCCGTCGGTCAGCGGCGTTCCTCCTCCTCCTCCTCAGGATGAAGATGACGGCTGGACCGTGGTCAGAAGGAAGAAGTGACGAGCAGAAGTAGAACTAGATGAACTGCGTTTGAATTGGACATTAATGCAACCATCTCTGAGCTCCAACATGGAGGCGGGGCCATCATGGGGGCGGGGTCATTGTGGAGGCGGAGCCTTCATGGAGCTTCCAGCCTGTGGATTGGTTGGTGTTGGAACTCTGTATTCAGAACATTAAAATGGGTCATATTCAACAGAACCAGAACATAAATTTTCTGGTCTCTAATTGGATCTGGTGCTGCTCTTAGATCCAGTACAACCAGAACCTAGCAGGAGCTTTACGGTGATGTGGAACCTAAGGAGAACCTTCCAGAACATCCAGTCCGATTCACACAGAACGCTAAAGATGGCTCCGATCCATTTCAGGGAAGAACTCCAGGCGGAAATTAACCAGGAACCAGACTCTGGTCCAGAACCCAACCCAGTCTGAGTGGTTCTAATGGTTCCCTAAGGATGACAAATGTTGGCAGTGATGTCATTAACGGTGGTTCCTAAAGAGGCAGCTAAACGTTCAACTCCTCCTGACCAGCAGGGGGCGCTCTCACCGGCTCTGGTTCTGATTGCCGGCCGTTCCCCAGTCCGCTAACAAAACCAAATAAACATTTAACTCACCTGATCAGAGGATTTGGTGCTGAATCTTTTCCTGTTGATGTTAGAATCCCAATAAAGAAATAAATAAAATAAAAAAAGAATCCCAACCAGAAGTTAACATTTATAGATTTGGAAATTTAATTCTGCTTCACTAGAAAAGCTTCTCTGGCTGTTTTATTAAACTAGAAATAATCAACTTAGATATGACCTTTAACCCTTTATAAGGCAAGTTAGTGTTTTTGATCACTTGCCTCTAGACTTGAGGTCTAGAAGCACAAGATCTATATCCAGTCATCCAGCATAGATCCTGCTACATGGCTGTACGTCTTATTTTGGTATTTGACCAATTAGATGAGCCCTTGAATGGAAATTAAGCTAAAAAAAATAGTTAATTCATGAAAAAAGTTAATAAGCCTTATTAACAATTATATTTAGGTTTATAAACTAAAAATGTCAGTGCCAGTATCAGCATTAATGCCTCTGAGGTTATGTTAGACCGAAAAAATGCGTTTCTTTCACTCTCAGAATGATTTTCATAAATTTCTTATAGAAGCAAAGGATTTTTAAATTTTTTTTTATCAGAATAGAGTAGTAATATTACAAGAATAAGTCATCTTACATCACCCTGTTTGAGAAAGAAAGCTTGGAGCTCCGCCCAGCAGATGACATCAGACCGGCTCCACCAATCAGCAACCAGAGTCCACTTTGACATCCTGCCCAGTTTGACGCTGCTGCTAAAAGATTTCCTGATTTGTCAAACTGATGCTAAAGTAGAACTTAACATGATGCTCCACATTCCTCACTTTAGGGAAGAAAGGGATTCTGGGAAGAATTGTTATAAAATACTTGTTTCTCGTAATTTTAGGATTTTATTCTCTTAATGTTATGACTTTATTCTCGTTGTGACGTTCTCGTAATTTTATGACTATTATGTTTAATTTATCAAAATAGGAAAAAAAATCTCTAGCCTGGCGTTCCTTGTTATCACATTGACAATAATGTAAATTTGATTTTCAAAGTATTTTACTGAGTTCTTCAACAGGGGGTCCGTGGCCCCTTGGGGGTCCGCTGAGGTACTGCATAGGGGTCGCAAAAGTTTTGGTTAATTACACTTTTGTCTGTGTTTTTTATATTCCCTCCTGCAATTTTTCCCACTAATTGAAATTTCTTTAAATCCACATGAACATGAATCCAACAGACTGTAGTAAACAGATAAATGGAGGCAGAAGATGTCTTTCAGTCATCAATGCTCACATTCAGAGACACACAGGAGCTCTTTCAAGCTGGACACCGTTTCATTCACAACACCTGTACCATCAACCAGGAAGCAGAAATACTTTAATAATCCCAGGGATGGATTACTTTAGTTACATTACTCCATCTGTAATAGAGGGACAATAGGACCAGTTTGATATAACACTATTTTATACGATATATATAATTAGGGGGTCCCGCTCCATCTCACCATCAGTTCAGGGTCCTTGGCCTGGAAAACCTTGATGACCCATGCTGTAAAGGGTTCAAGTTTTAATATGTGGGCGGAGCTTCACCTACTCCCAAGCTAATGATGCTAATTGCTAATCAATGCTAAAGCAGGTTAAACGTCCCCATCTGATGTTCTAGAAAATGTTCTGGAAGTCTTTCTTTTTCAGCTTTGCTGGTGAAGATTCTCAGTCATCCAGGTCAGAGTCGTTCCAAAAAAGTTCAAATCAATCCTCTGGACTTTGTTTCTAAGTTTGAATACATTTCTCTTCCATCCAGGAAACTTTGCCAATCAAATGTCAGAAATAGCGTTGAGTTCGAGTGAAGGAAGCCATCTATGTTAAGAAAGTCATCCTTAAACAGAGGGGGAGGGGGGACTCAAGTTTCAGCTTTCAAAAACCTCCAATGCAGCAATAGAGTTGATTCCTTCCTGCTATCATCGCAGCTCCAACCCCTTTACAGGAGAGCAGAAGACCTCACCTGTTCAGCCAGGCCAGCAATTCCCTCTAACGACCCCCCTTTCAGAGACATAGATTTATTCAATGGTTTATTTATACTTTGCCAATTTACATCTCATGCTTCAGGAGGTTTAAACATCCAGAACAACGTAAGGAAACTGGCTCAGCTAAGCTCCGTTCATCCATCAGAAGCTTCTCCTGATCTCTGCTTCCATGTTTCCTTTAGTGTCTCGTCTCAATCTTTCCTACTGAGCCCGGTTCTGGTTCTTCTGGGTTTTAGGTTCCCATCGTTTACATCAACATCCAGACGGTCCAAGAACTGACAGGTTTCTAGTTAGCTAATGTTCTTATTGGAGAATGAATCAATCTGATTTATTTGCTGCTGTCAGGAAACCAAGAACCTTAAAAAGAGAAAAACTGGAAGATGTTTGGTTCTGGGTTCAGCAGCAGGTGAACAAAACCAACATCAGTAATGGCAGCTCTGCGACAGCAGGGGGAGCTGTTATATATCCGGCTCATTTCAAAACTTCCGTTTTCATCTAAAGTTTTGGTTTTATCCTATCAGTTGGTACCGTTCCTTTAAAAATACATTTTTGACACTTTTCAGTTTGGTTTCTACAAGCATCACCATGGAAACCGCCCTGCTTAAAGTATCCAGTGATATTATGATGTCTGCAGACTCTGGAAAATGCTCTGTTCTTCTGTTCTTAGATCTCTCATCAGCATTTGACACGTTCAACCACTAAACTTTGTTGACAAGATTACGTGACCTGGTGGGAATGTCGGGACCAGTCTTAGCATGGTTCTCCTCTTAAGCCAGGCATCGGCTTTGCAATATTTCCAATCGTTGCACGCAATTACAGCACAAACTGTACGATGAAATGTTTCTCTAATGCGATCTACCTGAAACTGTACGTCTAAAAAAGTGAAATTCGGCTCAATTTCAAAATTTCTGGAGAATCGGGCGAAAAGTAGCCTGAAAACCAGACTAAATGTGAGATTAAATGTGTAATCTAGTCTGGCCCCGATGAATGAGACATCAGAAGATTGTTGATGAGAACAACCTGTTGTTTTTCAAACCATGTCTGTTCCTATTTATGGAGAGATATTTGTGCCATCGGTTTGAGCGCGCAGGAACCAATCCGAGCGCGCAGTGAGACAACACGCGCGCGCGCAAAACCGGTCTGGCGCGCGCTCAACTCTGAAAAACCCTCTCAACACACTGTTCTCGCGCTCAGTTTCATCTCTGCGCGTGCTCGAATCCGTCTCTGCTCGCGCTCGCTCCACCTGCTCTCTCTCCGCGCTCAACACCAGCTGTGCGCTCGGCTGTTTCTCCGCTCGCTCGACTCTCTGCGCTCGCAACTTCAGCAATGTATGTAAATGAACCATACCATCAGCCAATCACACCCAGCTTCTTTTCATCCAATGAAAGCATTCCTTCCTTCCTTCTTCTTCTTTTCTAGCATGGCGGATCGCAAGCAACTTTAAGGTGCATACCGCCACCTACTGTTCATGAGTGTGTAGCAACATTGTTTTACATCTATTAAATTCTATTTTTTAATTTTGCATTCTGAAGATAACTAAATAATGCTTTCCTTAATCTATAAACATCCTTTATATTTCCTTTATTTCCCAATAATCCTTTAAGACTCCATTCTTGGCCTGTCATTTCAACTACTCTTCTCAATTTTTCCCTTTCAGGTTCATATGTTTTACAGTTCATTAATATGTAAGCATTCGTTCCAAATACTACATCCGGTTAGATGAAAAAAAATACATAAATAAATAAAAACACAATCAGGAAAATCAAACAACTCTTACAGTTATTTTGTCAACATTCCTAAGATAGTACTATAAAATATCTTGAATTATCTCAAATAAACTTCAGTAAAACAGTTATTAGATCATTGCCTCATCCATCTCTTTTACCTGCTATTGACATGGATTTAAATTTGCTGTTTTAAAAGAAAAATAAGGAGGATATTTCAGGTTCCAGTATGGTTCAACAGTATATAGATAATGTTTTGGATCATATTGGCCTTACTCTTAGCTTTTGTGGCGGGTGTTTCTTCTTTTTGTTGTTTTTTATGGAGGTTGGCAAACAACAATTACCGCCACCAACTGAAAAATCCTGTTTATCAAATTATTCTTTTTAATATATATAATAAAGAATAACCCTCTTATTTAGAGTCCATCTGTAAAAGGTCTTCTAAATAATAATTGTTAAATTTCAGATCAGGTCTGCTGTCTGAATAATTGCGTTTAAATTAATATAACGGTCGCTGATCTAAAATCAGAGCAAACTAAACTTCTTAATGGAACGATTTCTTCAATCCATTGTAAGGCCAATATGATCCAAAACATTTCTCTTTTGTAGGCTGAATTCCATCACTGATTCTTTTACCCGATTTAAAAATAAATTATGAAACTAAAACAAAACACCATTCCTAATATTGGAATATTTTGAAGCATCCATAAAAAATTTAACATATCCATAATATTTTTTATCTATATATTGTTGAACCATACTGGAACCTGAAATATCCTCCTTATTTTTCTTTTAAAACATCAAATTTAAATCCATGTCAATAGCAGGTAAAAGAGATGGATGAGGCAATGATCTAATAACTGTTTTACTGAAGTTTATTTGAGATAATTCAAGATATTTTATAGTACTATCTTAGGAATGTTGACAAAATAACTGTAAGAGTTGTTTGATTTTCCTGATTGTGTTTTTATTTATTTATGTATTTATTTTCATCTAACCGGATGTAGTATTTGGAACGAATGCTTACATATTAATGAACTGTAAAACATATGAACCTGAAAGGGAAAAATTGAGAAGAGTAGTTGAAATGACAGGCCAAGAATGGAGTCTTAAAGGATTATTGGGAAATAAAGGAAATATAAAGGATGTTTATAGATTAAGGAAAGCATTATTTAGTTATCTTCAGAATGCAAAATTAAAAAATAGAATTTAATAGATGTAAAACAATGTTGCTACACACTCATGAACAGTAGGTGGCGGTATGCACCTTAAAGTTGCTTGCGATCCGCCATGATAGAAAAGAAGAAGAAGAAGGAA